AAGATTTTGGCTTTTTGAGTTTATGATCGAACCCAACTTCCGTGCCAAATTTCATCAGCCGATTCTGGGATCTTTGTGAATTTTGGCTGATTTCATGTGAAATGGTTGATTGTATATCCAATTATATTTAGATAATAAAAGTAGTATTACTATAACAAAATTTTGTATCGATAACTATAAATAATTAAATAAAAAATCTATCCGAGTGGAGCGAGGACCGCTAGTTTATTATATTCCCGATCTAGAAATAACAATTTAGATGAAATAATTTTTTTCATTCAAGTTTTTTTTTGGTACTTTTGATGGGTCAAATTTTTCAAAGATGACAATTGTCCATAATCTCGGTACAAAATCGACATTTTTTTCGAACGTCTGGTCAAAAAAGTCACTTCTGTATGAAAAATCACTCAGAAACCTTGAAAAACTGAACCCATACGTCCATACAAATGGTCCAAAGTCGATATTTTTGGTCGAAAATGACACTTTTGTATGAAAAATCACTTAGAATATCCGAATTTTTGGCCTTTTTTTCAGTCGGTGATCAGAGTGCCTATTCAAAATCAAAGATGACTTCAAAACAAAGCAAATCAAGGACTTTCCTGTCGGTTTGTATCTGATTATGACCAAATATACCGCATGGTGTACCAAACGGCGCCATCCGTACATTCATTAATTTTGCCTCGCACCATGCTGGAAATATCGGCCACAACTGAATTATTGTTAGCAATTAACGACTCAATCTCTTCGTTTCGAGGCTAGCTTTGATTTTGGATAGGCTCTTAACGCGGTAATAATATGTGATAGAATTGCATAGATGCACAACTTAACGTCTTATGTTAAAAAAAAATACATGCTATATTCAACCCATTTTCTACCAGCGTTCGATTTTTCGAACACCAAATTCACGATTTTTTTAGTGACTTTTTTTACATTTTTCCTTTTTTTGACTAAACGCGTTGAAATTTTCGGAAGAAATTTTCCAGGTATATAGGCAAATGTTTAAAGATGATTTTCACCAATTTTGAGAATTTTCCGATTTTTCATTTTCCCGGAAAATGTGTGAAAAGTCGGAAAATTTTACTTGGTCAGAATGTAATGAAACTTTGGAAAAATGATCTCTAGCCTCAAAATAGCATCTCCACAAAATTTTATCAAAATCCGTATATACTTTTGCATCTTGGTAGAAAATGGGTTAAGAAATGAAATGTTCAAAACAAGTGGGAATATTATATCTAATGTCAGGCGAGATTCACACGCGTGTTAAAAGTAATGAATTGTGGCAGTATTTATTTTATTGTGAATTTATAACGAATTTTCCCGAAATTTAAAGAAAATTACAATAAACATTATCATCAATTCTTTGGAAGATCAATTCAAAAATTAAACCTCTTGCTATCGTCGGATCATCTTCAAGAGTGGTCTCGCGATGGAACTGGATAACTATGCCGGATTTCAATTCAACTCTTGACTTCAATAAATCCATCGTGCAACAGCTTTTTGGTAAGGTTTGTTCCAGTCGAATTTCATACGTAAATCCGGGTCGAACAATGACCGGTTTAGTGAGAAATATTCGCAAATCTTCTGCAGAATTTAGAACATCATTTGCATTGTAAAGAATAACTTCATCATTCAGGTCGCTCACTTCTACGAGCGTTATATTTGTTGGAACGCCATCTTTTTCAAGTACCGAGTAGTTATTCTGGGTAAAAATTCCCACCATTCCACAACCGATCGCACGAAGTAAAACAGGTTCGTTGGTTGAGAAGACGGTTGTCTCTAAGTTCTTGATTTCATATGGCATAAGTGAACCAGACTGAGAAATTAATCGTTCACAATGAATATCCATACTTGCACTACATCCTTCCGCGGAACTACATCGTTTCGTACGGTTTCCAACGAACATTGTTGGATGGAATGATGGGTCCGCGATCATTTGAATGATCTCTTGTTGCTCGTGAAACGAAAATGTGTTTCCGTACTTTGGAATCAAGGCAGCGAACGATTGTAACGACATCGAACCGAAGCGAATTTCATGGAACAAGTCGCCAAGGTGATCGTGTACGAGCTCTTCGGTTAGATCATCCTGCTTGCTAACCGCTTTCACCCAAGACATACATGCTTCGAAGAGCTCGACCTCGGTGCATGTAATCCAATTCAGCTGAAGGATTGTAGCCAGCTCCTTCCGATCACATGTCAAGAAGCCTGTTGACTTGAGCAATGCTTTGATGTTCGATCCAATGAAAATTTTACATGCAATTTTCAAGTTCTCCTGATTCAACAAGATTGCTAATCCATAGATCCGAAGAATATTATCAATGTTAAGATTATTTTTCACGAACTTGCTGCACACCGCTGAACACTCGTGCACGTTGTACATTTCACCGAGGTTCATCACTGCAGCGACGTTTTCCATCGTCAATTTGACTTGCCCCAAATAGAAAAACTGGAGAAATTCCTTGAAGGCAGCAGCTGATACATCACCAATCTTCACCATATCCATCTCCTTCCACGACCCGTTGAACATTGTGGCAAAAACATCGCTGTGGGCCATCAAGAGTAATTTGTGTGCTGGGACTCGTTCGTTTCCATCATTTGCTCTGAACACAAAGTGAACATCGGCCAATTCAGATTCCAAGTACAAGTTTCTTCCGATCGTAGAAAACACTTGACTTGAATAGTCGCTAGTTAATGGATTGAACACCGACATCTTATGCTCAAACGTGGAATTCTATTGAAGCGGGAATAAACAAAAAAGCACTTAGAACCAACTGAATTATCTTAACAACACTTCAATCATATCAAATGGCACGTTTACATTTGAAAAGAAACGAACATTGAGTACGTTTACGTATTACCTAATTTTATTGCTAGAAATGGACCTTTAAAAAACTCAATTCGTTTATAAAATCAATTTATTTTTAGTTTTTCCTACGAAACAGAAATAGTTCTGAGAGCGAATTATAATCTGAACGATAATTTAGTAATACTTTAGTAATGTCTTCATTTGACCGATCACTCTTGCATCATTCATTCAAGTTTATGTTTTGTTACCAGAGTAAACACCGATTCATCGCGGTGTGCCACATCACATTGAAATTGGGTTGCTATCTAGTGCTAAAACTACGTTTGACAGCTGAAAAAGCGTCTGGGCGCCTCTACCATAAAACCAGTGTTTAGAATCACTTCATCACAAATGTTGAAGTTTTCGTACAAATTACTTAGTACTGCCGCCTTCAGTAATTCGCACGAAAACCGACACAGTACAGCGTAGCACACCAATACCGACAAAGCAAACCACACTCACACAGACACGAATGATATTTCATCATAATCTGTTTTGGATGCAGTCGCTGTTATTGTCGGTAGTTCTTGGCGAAACTAACTAGTGGCGCTGCTAGTAAGAAGTATCTGTTCAACAACCAATACATTATAAGTGTATAGGAGTATTCCTATATTGCATAAAAAAACCGTCTGACAGCAGCCGTTTATTTCAATCTATGATGCTTCACACACTGAACTAAGACCAAACGTCATATGAAAAATCATAACTATTTCACAATTGTTCCGTATTTATTATCGTGATTATTTTCCAAATAAATCATATTTTTGCTAGCAATTTGATTTTGCGAGAGAGAGAATAGTTTTGTTCCGAATACACGCATACGAATGCGTTCGCTTCTCGGTTCTCACTTCAATTCTAAAATAGCTTGCACTAGTGTCAAAGAGAAATGTTTCTTCTTGGTCTATTGTACATTGTTCGAATGAATCCAAAATTGACCCCACGTGTGTGTTTAATGTGTAAACTATAACAACGAACCTAACGCGGATATTTGTGTTTCACTTTTTTTGGACTTGACCATACGCCATGGCATTTGAAAATGCCACCTCACTTTCTGTCGTGTTTCAAACATTAAGACGATTAGAGACTTATCAATTTACTTACTTGAAATATGTGTGTTTTTAACTGTTTTCGACCAATGTCAATCCACGACGTTTATTTGTAACAACTAGTTATGTCTATCGCTCTTCTTCTTCTTCGTTTTATTTTTCTATCTTCATCGAATTGCTCGTTTCTCGGGGCAAATGCAAAAACTTTTTTCCAAAACTAAAAAAAAATCTGAATTGAAACAGGTTGACAAACACAATGGAAAAAATGCAACTGAATTTTATAACAATAAATACACGTCAGCTTTGTTGAAGTTACAAACATAAACTGAATACTAATTCCATCGATTGTGTTGATTTTTATCGTACGCAAGGAGGTGAATAACTATATGACACTAATGTCTTGCGACGGCACTAATGTGGAAATGGAAAAGAGAAGCTGACTCCATTATCACATTATGCAGAGATTAAGATGGTACCAATGGTGATGGTGGTGGTATTCGCATTCGGTTGACATGGTAGAGACCCACATGTAAGGAGCGAATCATCACAGAAAACTGGTTTTCAGTACTTTTCAGTACCTGCGGTTTATTTTCATTAGCTGTTCAGTTTTTTCAGTACCTAGTAAATATATGACTTTTATTGCAATTCAGTAATGACAAAATTCCAAAAATATCATACGATCCCATTCGTCCGACGGAACATGACATATGTTCAATTCTGAAAATTGAACACATTTGTGCGTGCGTGTGCTTTAATGCAACGCAAATATTCAATGGCTTTGTTTCAATTTCAGGCCAAA